TTAAAAGTAACGTTGCCATATATGCACCCAACGCAGCTGCCCAGCAACCGATCCTGCCTGTTTGAAATGCGCCGAAGCTCACTATTCGTACTTATGTACGAAATCCAGATCCTCTCCTGCGAAATGCATCAACTGTGACGGTGAGCACCCGGCCTGTTTTTCGGGCTGCGGGGCAAGACCCAGGAAAACATCTAAAGGAAGAAGAGCCCAACCTAAGACACATATAAATGCAGCCAGCAGATTTTTGCTCCTCTTCAAGGAAATGAAGGAACTTTTACAGAACTAAGAGCTGGTCAAGCTTCTTCGCTTCCTCCTACCAGAGACGCAAAACTAATTTTGTTTTGCTTTCACACAGGACTTGGACACTCATGACTTCACAGTTCTTACTCTGTGAAATTTTTGGACTCAACTTAAAACTTCTAGTAACTCATGACTTACTAGCTTATGTCAACTCAGATTCGACGAATCGGTTAGAAGCGCTTCGCGCTTAACGCCGAGATCTCACCGATACATAACATATTTAGTGGTTGTTAGATGTTATATGCATGGGCCGACCGGTCTGTGTAGGGGTCAGGTAACTGGTTTTGCATCACAAAAGTTCTGGGTTCGAATCCTGAGCAAGGCATGGATGTTTTTTCATTCTCTGCACTATCCGTCCTTACTGTGGGGAACAACGTTGGCCCAACAAATATAGTGCCTCTGAAAGTGTGGCCAACAAATCTGCCCTTCAGATGTATATTTATGACGAAAGGTCATTCTCCTTTCGTCATTCTGCTGGTGGGCATTGGAAAAAAAATATTATATGCATATGTTCTAAATTTTTACAGTGCTAGGAAAAATTTCTTCTCGTGATAGCAAAATTTATATTTTTATGAATAATTCTTTCTTTAATAGATTTAAAAATGGATTTGAAGTTATATTCCACACCACTTCATATAAATAGTTCAAAAGTTTTTATGAAACGCTGCTTTCATACTTGCCAATTCTTTCCAGAAGATTTAATTTTAAATTTAATCTATTAACCACATTTATACGTTCAAATTAATCTTGTAATAATAAATTTGATTAAAAATAATTAAAACTACCGTTACGTTTAATTCAAACATACATATTAGGAATTACGAGGCTTCAATTAATATTCTTCTAGCTGCACATTTCACCTCCGACGCCTCATATCATAACTATCAAAACAAATAATTTCATCAATATTTCTGAAAATAACGTTTTCTCATGCTGATACAATTCTGAACAACTCCAAAATCAAACAAACACAACTATAGAGGAAGCTGTTCATTTTATTTTTTGATTCCTTTTTAGTTATTCCAGCAAAGTGCTTGAAACATTCATAAAAGCAACTCCACTTCCTGCTTACCTCAATGCTCAACCAAAGTAGTGTTAAAATTCTAGATGAATGGGATAGGGGTCGCGACCCAGGTGCCCAATAAAATCAAAACACTAGGACTAGGATTAACATTCTTCATGTTGGGCTGAATATAAATGAAAAGTCTACTTACAGTTCAAATTTTATTTTGCTACCACTAGATAAAAGCTTCTTGGAAGAACGTAAAAGTTGGCAGGTAAAGTTTTGTCTTGTAAATCTTTACTGGTTTCTTATACCGTTGAAAAAACACGGTGCGCAAAGGATTAAGTTTTTGAGTCAAAGTAATTTGAAATTTTTAGTTGATACATTCTATATGTATAAAAATAAATGTGTGTTTGTCCTCTATAGACTCCTAAACCAACCGACAGAAAACTATGAAACTTGGCATACAGATAGTTCAAAGCACGAGGAAGGTTTCTGTCGACATTAGAACATTCTGCGAAAAGCCGTTCCAGCGGTATGAGCGAAAATCGAAATGGAATTTTCTGATTGGTTAAAAGCTAGCCATTGTTTTAAATTTTGCTATACACGATTCAGTTTTCAAATATCTTGAAGATAACAACAGTGATATTTTCTATCTTATAGCTCTATTCATTTAGAAAAGTAAATTACATATACTTTAATATTTAATTATAATTCGCGCAAGTTTCTTTATGTCAGGTGAGCACAAGAACGTAAAATCAACGAGAATAGATTTCGTAATTATTGATCGTATCACGGATTTAGTCTAATCTGTCTAATAAAGGCGAAAGGAAATTTCATTCAAATATCACGTTTTCAAAATTTATTTATATTTAGTATGTTATTTTAGGTTAGTACAATTAAATATAGTTTTTGAATGTTTCATTGCTGACAGTTGTTGTAGCGTAATAACGTTTGTAATGACGTCATCTTATGCAACGTCATTTTATGACTTCATCTTATGCAACGTCATCTTATGACGTCATCTTATCTGACATCTTTTAATGCCATAGAAATAACAAAAACTATTCAAGCACACCATGAAATATGATTCAATAGAGGATACGACACCAACCAACCAATGACGTCATCATTCATAATCTGTAATAATTTATTCCTTAGTTTAATACTTATACGAATTCGAATGGCAACAGTTTATCAGTTTATGTTTTCATGGAGATTGTTAAGAATAGATGCGGATCACTTTTTATAACTTGTAAATATTGTAATAAAGGTATATAGAAAATTAGTAAGAGTTTTTCGATGCATCTGACATTGTGGTGACCCGGACGTGATCGTTTGCATTTAATTCAGATAATTTTATGCTCTTATTTGAAACTTTTTCAAGTTTGGAATTCTAAATGGATCTGCTCATAGTGAAAAGAAAGTCGGTAAGAGCTTCTTTTACTCGTTTATATAATATTTTAATTGCGGCTCTAGGTAAACCTGAATTAAATTTTGAAGATTTAGAAAGTAAATTATCATCTTTGAGAAGAATTTCTATTGATTTATCGAAATTAGATGAAGATAGTATATGTAACGCCATCTTGATAGAAGTCGCCAAAGCAGACGATTTTGAAAATGAATACTGTATCATTGAAGAATACAGAGAAAAGTTAGATTCTGTTCGTGTTCGTGTAAAAAGAATTCTTAATTCTCGTGAACTGAAAGATAAGAAAGATAATTCGGTTAAAAATGAAAAAACCAAACTAAAGCTTCCGGAAATAGAACTTGTACATTTCAGTGGCGAGGTAAAAGATTCGCTGCATTTTTGGAGCCAATTCAGTAGAATACACGAAAATAAATCGATGGACGATGAAGATAAATTTCAATATCTTATTCAATGCGTGACAGCAGGAGGAAGAGCTCGTGAAATAGTGGATAGTTACCCGCCGACTGCTGATAATTATTGCAAAGTCATTGAGAGTTTCAAATCAAGGTTTGGCCGAGAGGAACTTTTAATTGAATATTATGTTCGGGAACTTTTGACTCTTGTCGTTAAAAATGCTACAAATTTAAGGAATAAGATGGATATTACACAATTGTACGACAAATTAGAATCCCATTTGCGATCGTTGGAATCCATTGGCATGACATCTGACAAATATGCCGCTATGCTATTCCCTTTAGTGGAGTCATGCATCCCCGAAGAAAATCTACGAGTTTGGCTTAGAAGTCCTTTAATTAATAAACAAGAGAATTCTTATAGCGATAAATTGGCTCAACTGTTAACATTTCTAAGAAGGGAAGTAGAGGGTAAAGAACGGATTGCTCTAGCAAAAACTGGTTTTAAACAAGCTGAAATAGTTGAAAGGAGACAAAAACACAGAGAAACAGAATTTTATCCACCTACGGCCAAAGATTTAATATCTGGGTTTAAAGAAAAGAAAAAGTTAAACTGTATATTTTGTAACAAATTACATGAAAGTAAAGACTGTTTTAAGGGACAGAAACTGTCATTAGAAGAAAAGCGAGAAGCAGTCAGAAAATATAAATACTGTTTTTTTTTGTTTGAAGCCAGGGCATTTATCGAGAAACTGCAGATTAACTGTACGCTGCATGGTCTGCGGAAAGAGACACTGGGTAATAATGTGTCCTAATTTATCGCCAAGTCAGAAAGTGGCGATTCAAGAGAGTCAAGAAGTGCCGCAAAATCTTGCTTTAGCCAATCACAATGTTTCAGAAGAAGTTTTGCTGCAGACTTTGCTTGTTGTGATAAATTATGGGGGAAAACGTAGTATCGTTCGAGCTTTAATCGATACTGGCTCACAACGCTCTTATGTATTAAAATCCACAGTTGAACGAATGAAACTAAAACCTGTAGGGTTTGAAACTCTGAATCATGTGGTATTTGGTGGTTATATGAAATGATCTAAGCACAATACCTATAAATTAAATGTAAGCAGTGTTCATGCAAACAAATTTTGCGAGATGCAAGTCTTAGACCAACCAACCATTTGTGGAGTGATACCAAGAACAAATGATGTATCTTGTTTAAAAGAGTTAAAAGAATTGGGAATCCAGATAACAGACTGTGGTAAAGGTAGACCTCCTATTGAGCTCCTAATTGGAGCAGATATTGCAGGCAAATTGTATACAGGTCAAACGCAAGTTTTAAAATGTGGTCTTGTTGCTGTGCAGACGCACTTAGGTTGGACTATCATGGGAAGGTCTGAAAATCGTAATTCCAAAGACAACACTATAACATCGCTAGTTTTACAAAGCCATACTATAGAAAATCTTTGGAAACTGGAAGCGATAGGAATTGGAGATCCTTGTGGAGGTATGATCACACAGTTATTGTAAAAAGCGGCCTATGATCATTTTGAAAAGACTCTAAAGATTACTGAAGATGGGCGCTATGAAATTAGTTTTCCTTGGATGCAAAGTCCCGACGAATTACCAAGTAACCCCGAACTTGCAGAAAAACGATTATTGTCCACTTCTTGGAAACTCAGTAAAGCTGGAAAGATAAAAGATTATAATGCTGTGTTCCAAGAATGGTTGCAATGCGGAATAATTGAAGAATGTTCAGAAGGGCCAGGTCACTATTTGCCACATCATGCAGTGTTCAAACCAACTTCCACTACCACACCTGTTAGACCCGTTTTTGAGGCCTCGTACAAGTCGAAGGGAAATATTTCGTTAAATGACTGCCTAATGAAATTTCCAAATTTGCTCGAAGACATCCCAACTGCTCTTCTTAGATTCAGACAGAAAAAATTGGAATTGTTGAAGAAGGCGTTTTTGCAAATTTCAGTAGCAGAAGAGGATCGCAAGTATTTGAAATTCTTATGGTGGGCAGATGAAGAAAAAAGTCTATTAAGGTATACCAACATTGCAGAGTTGTTTTTGGACTTAATTGTAGTCCGTTTTTACTGGGTGCTGTTTTAAGACATCATTTAGATTCATTTGCATTTCTCCATATCAAGATGTTTCAGAGACACTTAAATCTGCTTACTATGTGGATAACTGTGTTGCTTCAGTTAGTTCTGAAAATGAATTACAAAGATTTGTAAAAGTGTCTACAGAGATCATGGCCAAAGGAAAGTTTGAGTTGAGAGGATGGGAATATTCTGCTGTTAAACGTTCAAGTGTTCCTATGGTCTCATCACAAGTTTTAGGTTCATAATGGGACAAGAATGAAGATGTTATTTTTTGTGATAATCAATCCATTTCAAACCATCCACAAAAGATAACTAGAAGGTCCATTCTTTCCATGGCTCAGCAAGTATTCGATCCGCTTGGATTTTCATGCCCAGCTACGTTGTATCCTAAGTTACTATTACAAGAGAGTTGGAGGTCTGAATTAGGCTGGGATACTGAGGTTTGTGAAGATACAAAACTCAAAGTTCTAAATTGGATTGGAGAAATGAGGAAACTAAAAGATTTAAAAATAAAAAGACAAGTGTTTCCTGATAATTATTTGGAGTCAGAATTACATACCTTTTGCGATGCAAGTGGTTTATCGTACGCTGCCGTAGTTTACTTGAGATGTAAGACAGATAAAAATATTTCGGTACAATTATTGATGGCTAAATCCAGAGTGGCACCATT